TTCTGCTGAAAGTTACGTGTTGTTATAATCTTCAGCAAATGTAACCACTGTTGGTTTCTGCTGAAAGTTACGTGTTGTTATAATCTTCAGCAAATGTAACCACTGTTGGTTTCTGCTGAAAGTTACGTGTTGTTATAATCTTCAGCAAATGTAACCACTGTTGGTTTCTGCTGAAAGTTACGTGTTGTTATAATCTTCAGCAAATGTAACCACTGTTCACATGGACGTTCCTATAATAAAAACCATGTGGAGTTAGAGTTCTGATTAAAGTTGCAAGGAAAAAAAAAGCCATATGAATAGGGACAGTTGTTGTTGTTTCAAACAAGCATGAAAATCAAGCTTTTATTATATAACTATCTGTTTTTCTAAGTTTGACATTTTTGTTTGAACTCATTATTTAAGAGAACATGTTCATGAAAGCGTTTAATTCTCATTCTTTTAAATATCTGTAATATTTTTTATTTATAAAGTTTCATACATCATAGCTGATTCGTCATTGATGTAGGTGTGTTCCGACTGGTGTCCGCTGTTATTTTGTTTGGCAACATGAAGTTCAAACAAGAGAGAAATTCAGACCAAGCTACTCTTCCTGACAACACTGTAGCTCAGAAGATAAGCCACCTGCTTGGCCTCAGTGTTACTGAGATGACGAAGGCTTTCCTCAGACCACGTCTCAAAGTCGGAAGAGATTACGTCAACAAAGCTCAGACAAAGGAACAGGTAATTTACCACAACTGTAGCAGATAAAATTATGTGTTACTTTATATGAAAAACAAAACAGGTGTTACTATTATTTTGCTGGAATTTACCATGAATGAATTTTTCTAGTATTATAATTAAATTATCTTTAATAGAAGAGTTACCTCTCAAAGTAAACACACACCCTTGGTGTTAGTTTTATCCTATTGTCTTGAATTTACATCAGTAATTCCCATCTGCTGGTCAGCAGACAAGTGTCGGTCTGTTCAAACACTTAGTGTGAAGAAAAACTATATAATAATGATAGTTATAAATGTGTATAGTTCATTTTAAAATAAATTTCTAAGTTCTTTAAAACTCATTTTTAGAAACGTGAATCTCTATACATCATCTACTATAGTATATACCTACAGGTAATGTCTGGGGAGTGATGAAGATTGGAAACTACTGCTTTACATGATATAAGACATGTTAAATTCTTATTATTCTTTGGTGATTCAACTAAAATGAGATAGAAAATGTACTCTCAGTACACAAAATCAATTATATTCTAACACTAGGATGTCATGTTTTTGTTTCTTTAGGTAGAGTTTGCTTGAGATTAATTA